TATTTATAGGACTAAAATTATTTTTTTTCTTGAATAATGTTAATTATTATTATTATTTGTAAGTGTTTTTATAATGTTGGAAAGACGTCTATTTGTGTGAGTTTGTGATTAAATTTGAGATTTAAAAAAAAAAATAATAAAAAAAAAAAATAAAAAAAAAGTAAAGAGTAAAAAGTAAAAAGTAGAAGCAAATTGTAAAAAAAAATAACAATAATAATCATTAAAAATATTTATAAAAAAAAATGTGTTGTCTTTCCCCTTACACAAAAATTATTGAAAAAATTTTAAATTCATATGAAAAGAGATATTTTCTCTTTAGAATTTGGTATATTTTTTAAAAAAAAAAAAATTAAAACTTTTTTTTATTTTTTTTTTATTTTTAAATTTTTTTTTTTCCAATCAATCATTTGAAAATATCTCATTGTATGGTTTTGTATATTTTTTTTTTTTTCCAAAAACACAATCAAAAAAATTTTATAATAATCAGTTTCATTGTTATGTTTTTTTTACCCTTTTTTTTTATAAATGAAAAAAAGAGCATGGGCTTTCAACGATCATTTCAAATTTTATTTGAATTTGCCAAATTCAAATCTAATAGAAAAGTGGTAATATAAAAAAGAAATTTTGTTTATCACAACCACTTTTTTTTATGTTTTTTTTTTATTTTATTTTATTTTATTTTTTTTCAAATGATTTCAAACTAAATGAAAAAAAAAAAAAAAAATAGTAAAGTGTTTTATGATTGAGATGACTTGTGATTTTGATTTTTTACAATTATTTTTCATTGGATGCAAGAAAAATATATATATATATTATTACAAGAGTTTATTTTTTGTTATTTTTTTTGCGATTTGATGATATTGTTGTTGTGTGAGTAAAAACAAATGAAGATTATTCATAAGAATTAGTTTTTTTATATTTTTAACAATTTGTATTTATATTTTTAACTATTTGTATTTATATTTATTTATATATTTATATAATTACTAAAATGCTAAATTACTTTTTTTATTTTTTTTATTTTTTTACCAAACTAGGAAATATCCAATAACAATAAAATTTTTAATCACTACAATTTAGAGATAAAAAATTCTTTTATATAATTAATATTTTTATTATAATCATAATTTTGGTTTGAACTTATCTAAAAAAAAAAAACAAAAATAATAATAATTTAAATACCAAAATTAAGTCCATCATCTGTTATCACTGAAATTTCTTAAATAATTTCCCCATTAGAGTTTATTATTTTATTTTATTAAATTTATGCACACAAAATTTTTTTTTATATTGAATATTCAATAAAAAAAAAATTTCAATTCAAATAGAAAAGAAAAAGGAAATTATTTTTACATTTTTAAAAAAACAAATAATCAAAAAAAAATTTTATTTATTTATTTGTTTTGAAATTCATTTAATTTTTTTAATTTTTTTTTTTTTAAAAATTTAAAAAAAAATATTTTTTTTTTTTTTTTAAATTTTTTTAAAATTTTTTCAATTTTTATTTTTTTATTTGTTTGTATATTAAAATTTTGAAAAATAAAAAAAAGTTATTTTTTAGTTGTTATGTACACATAAATACTTAGAAATTTAAATAGGTTTAAGCAAAATCATATTCGAAAACCATCTACAAATATATATATACCAAATAAACCTTTTAAAAGAGTAACTATCTTTATTTACAACAAGTTTTATTACACACAAAAATAGTAATTTCTCCATATAAAAAAAATTTATTCGTTAATAATTCATTGGGTCATAAAAATTTTTTTTAAATTTTTTTAAATTAATATTTAATTTAAATCATATACTAACTTTTTTTTTTTATAAAAAATATAATAAATAATTAATTTAAATTTTTAGTAGTATTGTTTCAAAATAAAAATAATTTATTGTACATTTTTTTTTTTTTTTTTTTATTATAAATATATATTTATTTTTTCAAAATTTTTTTTTTTTAAATAATAATAATAATTTCGAAAATAATAAACAGGGTTTCAAAAAATTTATATTTATCAAATTTCGATAATAATAAACAGTGTTTCAAAAAATTTATATAAATCAAAATAACCTTTAGATAGGTTTTTATTTTTTTTTTTTTTATATTCACAATTTCATATAATCACATTTAATTTTTTAAAAGATGGTGTCAAAAAAACAAAAGAAAGATCAAAAATCATCAATAGTTATATCCAATGATGATACTCCAATGTCACCAAATGCCGATAACCCAAATTCACCATATCATGAAAATGGAAATGATAGCGATTCAACAAATACACCAAATAGCAAGAAGAGGCAAAGATCAAATAGTGGGTCAAGGAATAAAGCAACGTCAATCAACTCACCATCTATTTCATCAAGTAAAATAAATATTTCATCATCGACAATCGACAAAAATTCGATAGAATCAAGTTTAGAAAAAAATAAAAAAGAGTTTTTAGAAATTTCAGATAAAAGAAATTCATTAATTAGAGAGTTGGCAATTTTAGAAGATAAAGATTTGTCATTTTTAGATATAGATCAAAATAAAATTGAATCAATCGTTGGAAAAATGGAAGAGTTCTATAATTCAAATGGTTATCAAGTTTATTCTAAAGATTTTATAAATAATTTATCACAATTACCAATTTTAGATGTAAATAATAATAATAATAATATGAATAGTAATAGTAATAATATGAATAATACACCTATTAAACCAACAGTACCATCAGAAAGACCAAAGAGTGAGCGATTAAAAAGAGCATCATTATTGGCAGAGTCCAAAAAAACAACCACAACCACAACCACAACCACTACTGCAACTACAGCTTCACAACCAACAGATAAAACTTCAATAACAGATACAGATACAAGCAAGGATACCAATGACAAAGAAAATAAAGATAATAAGGTAAAAGAAAATAATAATACAGATAATAATAATAATAATGATGAAGAAAAGTTAACATCTCAAGGACCACAAAAAAAACTCAGAAGAGATGCTTCAGCATTAAATACAAATCCAACAACAAATCAACAAGAGATTAAAAATAACGAACCACTTCAACCACAACAACTTCAATTATTAGCTCAGTTACACCCAGAAGATTTTAAACCTTTACCACCACCACCTCCATCAGCACTGATTCAAATACCGCCACTAAGTACAGATATTATAGAAAAAGCAAAAGAGGATGCCAAAATTATGAGAAGAATTCATGAATTACAAAAGAAAGGTGTTTGGGGGCATAAACAACTTCAGAAATTACCAGAACCACCACGTCCAAAAGTTCAATGGGATCACTTATTAGAGGAAATGCAGGTTGTATCAGAAGATTTTATTAGGAATAGACGTTTGAAGATACGGGTTAGAAAGGCTTTAGGTAAAGATGTTATACGTCATCATTCATTGATTCAAACTCAAGAGCAAAGGGAGATACGTGAGGAAGAAAATCGTAAAAAGAAATTGGCATCAAACATTTCAAAAGAAATTAAAAAGTTTTGGAGTCAAATTAAAAAACTTATTCAATATAAAGATAAAATGTACTTGGAGTCAGTTAAGAAGGTTGAAAGAGATAGACAATTGGAGTTTATTGTAGGTAAAACTGAAAAGTATTCGTCATTGTTAGCAGAAAATTTACGCGGCCCAGAATCAAATGAAAGCTCAGCATCAACATCCACTTCAAAAGCTTCACAACATTTACAGCACCTTACACCAAAAGATTTAATGGAGGAGGAGGGCGGGGAGGATGACTATCAACACTCATCATCAGACTCTTCATGTGATTTATCTGACGAGTTTGTATCTGAAGAAGAAGAACAATTAGAATCTGAAGAGTATTTGGAAAGATTGAAAAGAGAGTCGGATATGCCATTGGATGAGTTATTGAAGCGTTTCGATGATGAAGATTCGGAAGGCGAAGATATTCAACAACCACCACAACAGGAAGAAGAACTAAACGAAATGAAAGAAGAACAAATGGAAGAGGAAATAAAGGATTCAAAAGATGCTATTTCAATTGCATCAAAGAAAGCAATTTCATCTCAACCAACAGGTTTCACATTCAATACCACTCAGGTTAAAACTAAAGTACCTTTCCTTATTAAATATCCTTTAAGAGAATATCAACATATTGGTTTAGATTGGTTAGTTTCTTTATATGAAAAGAATTTAAATGGTATTTTAGCAGATGAAATGGGTTTAGGTAAAACTATTATGACAATCTCATTGATTGCTTACTTGGCAGTTTCAAAGGGTATTTGGGGTCCACACTTAATTGTTGTTCCATCATCTGTATTATTTAATTGGGAAGCAGAGTTTAAAAAATGGGCACCAGGTTTAAAGATATTTACATATCATGGTTCAAGCAAAGATAGAAAGGCCAGTAGAAAGGGTTGGTCTAAATCAAATGCTTTTCATGTTTGCATCACATCATACTCTATGGTTTTATCAGATCATTTAATTTTCCGTAGAAAGAAATGGGTCTATATGATCTTGGATGAAGCTCATGTCATCAAAAACTTTAAAACTCAAAAATGGCAAAATATGTTACACTTTAATACCGAACGTCGTCTTTTATTAACAGGAACACCCCTTCAAAATAGTTTGATGGAACTTTGGTCTTTGATGCACTTTTTAATGCCTGATATTTTTCAATCACACAGAGAGTTTCAAGATTGGTTTTCAAATCCTGTAACTGGTATGGTCGAGGGTAATGAGGAAGTCAATGAAGATATTATAAATAGATTACATGCCGTACTTCGTCCATTCCTCTTACGTCGTCTTAAAAAAGATGTCGAAAAACAATTACCAGCCAAACATACTCATATTGTGCCTTGCTCAATGTCACGTCGTCAAAAATTCCTCTATGAGGAATTTATAAATTTAAATAGTACTCAAACAACATTATCATCAGGCAGTTTCTTTAGTATCATAAATATTTTAATGCAACTCAGAAAGGTTTGTAATCATCCAGATCTCTTTAAAGTACGTCCAATTATTTCACCATGGGATACCGATACAGTTAGTTTCGAAGTTAGTTCGATGGTAGTAAATATTTTAGATGATTTACCAATTCGTAATTTAAATTTAAATCTTTTAAATTTAGATTTAATCAACTATGAAACAGCTTTATCTCAGAACGATGCAGACACTATTTTAGAATTATTACCCAGAGAAAGTGCATTACTCGAACTTTTTAATCAATTGGCTCGCTCTCTACCAAATATATCCTTACAATATTCTCAACCAAATGCTCAACAAATGTTAACATCTTGTTTAGATATTTATCAAAATCAAAGAAATGAATTTCAAATTAAACGTTATCAAGAGACTCTAGATAGAATGCGTTATCAGAAAACCAAGTATCTCAATCGTCCAATCTATGGTCGTGATTTAGTAGACTCACTTAAGATTATTGATCCAATTAGAGATTTGTATTCAATTGCTTCAAAACCATCAAAATTTTTAGAATATTCAGATTGTGTTTTATCAATGATAAAAACCCCTTCACAACGTCAACAAATGATGGAATCAATTATTAACAATTATACTTTTCTCATTCCAAAAACTCGTTCCGAACCAATTACTCTAGTTCAATATGGCGCATCTCCATCCAAACTAATGGAGGAGCATCGTAATGAAATTACTCTACTCCATGGTTTACAACACGCTTTCGATTCATTTTATCCATCATATCAAAGAATGAAGTTTTATTTCCCAGATAAAAGATTGGTTCAATATGATTGTGGTAAACTTCAAGAGATGGCTATTCTATTACGTAAACTCAAAAATGGTGGTCATCGTGCACTTATTTTTACCCAAATGACCAGAATGTTAGATATCTTTGAGGAGTTTTTAAATATACATGGATATACCTATCTAAGATTAGATGGTTCAACTAAAATTGAAAAGCGTCAAGCTCTTACCGAACGTTTCAATACTGATCCAAAGATTTTCCTTTTCATTCTTTCAACTAGATCGGGTGGCCTTGGTCTTAATCTTACTGGGGCTGATACAGTTATTTTCTATGATACAGATTGGAATCCTTCAATGGATGCACAAGCTCAAGATAGATGTCATCGTATTGGTCAAACTCGTGAAGTCAATATTTATCGTTTAATTACAATGCACTCTATTGAAGAAAATATATTAAAGAAATCAAATCAAAAGAGACAATTAGATAATATGGTAATTAAAGCTGGCGAATTTACAACAGAATTCTTTAAAAACTTAAAAATTAAAAATGAAAAGTAAGTTTATTTTTATACTTCATCAAATATAAATATAAATGTAAATGTATAGATATACTAATATAAATTTTTTATTATTATTTTAGTGTTAAAGATACCATTAATGAAAAGGATTGGGAAAAAGCTGTTGAACAAGTAGAGGATGAAACAGATGTTTTGGCTACAAAGAATGCACTTAAAGAGGCAGCAAATGAATATCAAGAGTTTGTTCAAGATGAAAAGTCTAGTTCCTCAACTCCAATTATTGCTAGTGATGATATTGAATTGGCAGAGGCAGCTGAAATTGAAGATAATACCCAGGATTTAGTTGAAGATTATCTTAACCCAATTCAAAAATTCGCTCTTAAGTTTATAGAATCTATACCATCATATACTTTAGAATCTCAAGGTACAGTTTCAAAAGTTAAAAAAGATCAACTTCCCACCACTATAAACAAGAATGAAGATGATGAAGTTCAAATAAATAATAATATATCACCAAGAAATTTTAATAACGATGATGACGAAGATAATAATAGTTCGGGTAATGGTTTTTCAAATATAATAAATACCAATACTAATACCAATACCAGTGCTGCCAATAATAATAGCTCTGATAATAAAAATTCAGATAATAATGGTTCAGATGATAGTGATTCAAAAAACAATACAAATAATCAAAATGATTTAAATGACTCATTATTAGGGAGTTTAACTAGCCAACAAGAAAATAATAATAATCAACATGAAAAAATGGATATTGACACTATTAGTTCGTTACAATCAACAGTTATTGATTCTCCAAAAGAAAAAGCAAATACAGGTGAACCATTTTTTCAAAAATTTGATTCCGTAGATATTAATGAACTCGAACTAACCAGTCAACAACAATTATCATTTCATGCATTTAATGAACAACAAAAGAAATATGAACAACTAAAACAATTGGGCCAACAAGAACAACCATTGCTTTTTTTTGAAATAAGTGGAATAAATAATCAAGAGTTTAAATCTTCTCTTATAAACTTATTTGGGGATTTTTTTCAAAGAATACCAGACCCAGATGTTGATCAATGGATATTACCGCCACTTCAAGAAGAGTTACCAAAACATCTTTTTGAACAAGTATTAAAAGATCAAGACGAGTATTATCATCAACATTACCTCTATTTATATCCACCAACACCACCCTTAATTTCATTTGAAGCTTTTGCAAAACCAAGTCTATCAAAGCTAAAGAAAGGAAAGATAATAAAACAGTTGGCTCAACAATTTATTTATTCAAAGCAAAACACAAAAGAAAAAGAAAGAGAGAGAAGACAATTAATAAAGATGAAAAAAGAAAAGGACAAGATAGAAAAAGCAAGATTAGAGGAAGAAAGAAAAGCAAAAGAAAAGAGAGACCAAAAATTATTAAATAAAAATAAAACTCCAACATCCTCATCAACGCCTATTATATCATCATCAAGTCATAAAGATAAAAAGAGTAAAAAAGATAGTAGTTCTTCAAGCATAAGTGCAAATGGTGGCTCCTTATCTCCATCAAACAAAAAGAATCGTTTGGTTCCTGATGATATTATTGTTACTGGTGGTGTTGCCCACTCTGCTTCCGATAGATCAGATGCTGAGTTGGAAGATTTCGCTGATAGTTTAGAAGAATCATTGACAATTAAACAAGGCGGTATCACATCTTCAGTAAATAAAAAGAATAGAGACTATGAAATGCAGGATGTTTCGTCTCAAGATGAAAGCTCTGGTAGTATTAGTAAAAGAGTTAAAAAGAAAGATATCAAAAGACAGAATCCTTTATCTTCTTCAAAACAAGATATCGAACTACCCAACTCGTCAACTTTATCAGCCTCAAGTATTTTAACTTCAGATTTAATATTGAACACTATGGGTCCACCATGGTCCCAACAAGAGGATAATTTAATCAACGAAAATGTATCAAAATATGGAGAAAATTGGGATCTTATTTATTTCATTACCCAAAATTCAAATTATTCTAGGATCAACAGAATTAATAGATCTAAACAACAAATTATCGATCGTTACAAGAGTCATCTCGTTAAACAAGCCAATCCTGAAGAACCAAATAATAGTAACAACAACATCAGCAGCAGTCCAACTGTTGATAACTCACCATTCTCTTTCACTTTGATGGATAATATCAAAATGGCTATCACTCAAAGTAGATTGCCTGGCATTAGAGGTACTGCAATTCAAGTCTTAACAGAGGTTGAGGTCCATCCCTCCCATGCCCCACTTCAAATTTCAACCAAGGTTACAGCTATTACTCCTTCTGAATTGGCTTTAATCGCTACAAATAAATTTAATCGTGAGAAAAAGCTTTATCAACAACAACAACAAGCAAGAATGTTACAATTACAACAACAAGCCCAACAACCTCCTCAATCACAACCACAAGTTCAGCCACCACAATCTCAATTACCACCACAACAAATTCAACAACCACAAGTTCAGCAACAGGTTCAACCAACCCAACTGCAACAACCACAGGCTCAACCAACCCAACAACAAATACCACAGGTTATACAACAACAAATCCAACTTCAACAAATGCAACAACCACAAATTCCACAGGTTATACAACAACAAATGCAACAACCAATTCCACAAGTTTTACAACAACAAATGCAACAGCCAATTCAGCAATCGATTCCACAAGCTATACAACAACAATTCTCACAGCAACCACAGCAATCGATTCCACAGGCTATTCAACAACAGATGCAGCAATACCCTCAACAACCAATTCCAACATTATTACAACAACAATTTCCACAACAACAACAATTTCCACCCCAAATTCTTCAACAACAGCCACAAAAACCATTCGCACAACAACCACAACAAAATACTCAACAAGCACAAC